TATATATATATATAGATACTGTAAGTTTATTTTTTAATTTAGCACATTTTTATGCCCCTTTTGACATGCCACTCTGATACACTCTCATGATAAACAAAATATCTTTACCATGTGACACAATAAATTGCATCTCACCTCAATCACAGCCCCAATGCCAGCAGGGATCAAAACCAGCAAGCTGGTTTGTTCATCCAGTAAGAAAAGGAAAATCACCACCGTGCTGAAACAACGCCACAACACTGTAAGAAAAAAGTATAACCATTGCAGATGGTGCCAGGTACAATGAAGCAAACTGTAATTTTAAAAGGGATAAATGAATGCAGCAGAGAATGATTTCTTAAATGGGACAGATATTGTAACCTGAGCATATAGAGAAATATATTGTACAAAAGAGTTTCCTGCAAGGCTTAACTTTATGATGTGCCACCCAAAAATGAGAACAGGAAAATGTATGTCCAACTGCACTACATTAATTTTTTTCCCTACATCAAGAGAAACATAGGATTTTTGACTTGCCTTGTAAAATCTTTTTCTTGGAGTACATTAAAAAAGGTACACAGGAGACGTTTTCAGAAACATTGGGTTATGCTGCTGCCTTCAGGAGATTGGACACTAGCAAACAAGAGCTGCAAGGACTGTCCAGTAGAACCCCTCCCACTCACAGCAAGTCTCAGTTTTGTACCATGCAGAAACAGGAGTGGATGATAAGAAACAGGTGGGGAGGAACCTGTGTCCTGTAATGTACTCCATGAAAAGGGTTTTACAGGCAAGACAAAAATCCTAATTTCTTATGTGTACATTACGGGGCAGAAGAATTCAAGAACATTGGGACGTCCAAAAGTCCTACTGAAGGGTGGGTGACATAGCAAACAAAAGCCTAACAGGCTCACCCAAAAAATTAACAGGTTAACAGAGGGGGGCTCAATAGAGCCTACAGAGCTCCTGAAGAACCTCACAACCAAAGCCAGCATTAGCTGAGGCCTCAACATCCACTTGACAAAACTTAACAAACGTGCGAACAGAAGACCAGGTAGCAGCCTTGCAAATCTGAGAAACAGATGCCTGATGCTAAAAAGCCTGTACAGAGGCTCTGTTCATTCAGAATCTGGAGATGGTAAATATTTACCATCAACCCAGTCATGAATGGACAGGAAGCCTCTGTACTGAGTTACTTCCTGTTCATTCATAAAGAAAGCAGATAGTAAATATTTACTAAGTCCCCATTCATAAATTAACAGGAAATTATGTATAGCACTTCCAATTTATTCATAACTGGGGACATAGCAATTACTAACACTGAGCAATCAGTACGGATTCCAAAGCTTTGTGTTTGTGCTCCCCAGTCTCACTGCTCTGCCCCTTCCTGCCAGTCATTAGAGCTGGGCTCTCCTCCCTGCACCCCCGTTTGGCATCCTGACAGCTCTCCTCTCCCACCAGACCGCCCTGCTTGGCATCCTGACAGCTTTCCTACCCCCCACACACCCTAATGACAGCTTCTCTACTCTCTATCGCTGGGCACTGGCAGCTGGATCAACTCTGTGTCATCTCTGATCCCAACTGCCTCTACCAAACACAGGCAGGGGAGAGCAGTGGGGATTGGAAGGAACTGGAAGTGACACAGACCGAAGCTTGCAGCTGGCACCCAGCGGGAATCGGAGAAGCTGGGAATGCACTGAATTTTCTGCCTTTTTTTTGGTACTATCGGCATTTTGCCCATAGTACCATTGTTTGAACAAAATGTTTCCCTCGGCCGAAATTTCAGTGCATCCCTAAGTGATGATGAGCTGTCGAATTAACCTAACAATAGTGTAACGAGAAGCAGACTGTCAAGTTTCCACATCTGGGACATAAGCAGTGGTCAGGACGGTAATCGGAATTTCTGCCGAGGCCAGAAGCAAATCCGCTTGCATGTATTTTTGCAAAACATCAGATTTCTCCCTGAAGGATTATGCAAGTCACTGCTTTGGTATTGGCTGAATCCTGGTCGGATGACCTTCCAGACGAGGTGCAGTAATGAAGGGAAAACCAAATTGCCTTGAGAACTGGAATGCCAATTGGGAGACAATTCTCCTCCAAAGATCAGGTCTTTTGTACTGAGAAGGTACCAAGGAGTGCTCCATAGCAAGATAAGCCACCATCCGATGTGAACACCTACCAAACTATTGTAAGGAAAGATTTTCTCCTGTTGAGCTTGTGACCCACCATACTAGGGCAAGCCTGGTCCTACTGGACGATTCCAAGAAGGCATCCTCTTGTCCCACATTTTCTTGTAGTTCACCACTGTGGCAAAGAGTTGAAAAACTGTACATGGGAATGTCTCCAAGAAAACCCTTATACCCAAGACCCCAATGCAAAATGCACGATCAGTTGGCTCCTGGACTACAGATTCTATATGTGGGAGCGAGAGTCTGAAGCTGGCCCATGGGAAGGAAAAAAAACAGAGCTGTGTCTAGGATCAGATACTCCAAGCGATGACATGGTTACAGCACTGATTTCATGAGATTCAGGAGCCTCTCCTATTTCTGTAGGGTCTGCACAGTCCAAAGGACATTGGATGAGTTGACTAATCCTTCAGAAGAAGGCAACCTAAATGCCATTCAGGAAACACTCAGAGATCCAATTAGAGCAAGAAAAGGGGCAGGCACCTTGCTAAGACCCAAGGAGCACGGGACAGGCCCAAGGGAAGGTCAACAATTCAGAAGGGTTGTGCACCCACAGCAGAAAGAGCAGATAGCCTAGAAGTATTGGGAAGATCGGGGCATGCAAGTAGGCAACCCTGACTTCCACAGAAGCAAGAAGGCCTCCTGGGTGAAGGGAAGTAATAACTGACCTGGCGGATTACATGCAGAATTTTGTATCCGGAGGAAGGATTTAAGGACCATTATCTCCAGTAAGAGGTGAATGCCCCATGATCACGATCTCAAGGAAGAAAAACTAAACTGTGTCAGAACAGCACAAAGATCTACCGATCCACTGGAAACAAAGACTGAATTTTACCCTGTGGCCTCTGGAAACTCAAATGTAGGAAATGCACTGAGATCAGACATAGGATGAGGTCCTCTGAGAGCTCAGACCGACCCAGAGACAGAAGATGCAAACAACTTCAGGTCTGGGAATGTGCTGACTGTGTTACTAAAAATAGGGATACTGCTAAGTTTGAGAGTTAAGTCCAAAGACAAAACTTCACCATGAACCAAACCATCTAAAGAGATAGGGTACAATTCCTCATAGTCCTCAGCTGAGCAAATGCTGTATGGGAAAAAAAAAAGTGCACTACACAAACAACGACAAGATAATGAGTGGGAGAAGCCCCCAAAGCCACTACTCTTGTGCTCAAGATGCACCATACTAACAATATAGATATAGTATCTAAGTGAGACCTCACCATCGAGGCGAACTTAAGACCCAGCTGCAGTGCGCGAGGGGATAATGGTCGGTTGTGACTAGTCACTGTAGGCCATCATACAACAGTATGCAAGTGCAAGAGTATCAGCAAAAGTACTGACAGACCAACTGCAGGGCAAATGGCTGTTTTAGACTAAGCCACCATTCAAACAGTAAGTAAGTGAAACTTTACCAGAAAGACTTACTAAACAGACCATAATATGTAAACATCATAGTACCACCCAAGCGGCACTTGTAGACCCACTACAGAGCAGAAGGTCACCACACAAACAGTGTACGATGAGAGTACCAGGAAAAGCTCTCCAGACCAACCACGGAGCAGGAGGAGTCAAAAGGTAAACTGTGACTATGTTACGGTAGCATAGGCCGCTGTGCAAATAGTATATCAGTGAGAAAATACAAACAAGGCATACCTACAGACCAACTGGGAACCAGGAGGGGTTTAAACCCATCCGTGGCTTGGTCACTATGGGGTGCTGTGCAAACAGAAGCCAGTGAGACAGTACCAACAGGGCTCACTCATAGATCAACAGAGCAGTATACTCACAGAGCAGTATGGGTTAATGGTCGTGGGTGACAAGGTCACCATAGGCAGCAGTACAAACAATATGTAAGTGAGACATTACCAACAAGGATTACTCACACTACTTGAAAGTGACACAAATCTCTTGCTTTTCTTCTGCATTAATCCCCACATTGCACTATCCCTAAAGCCACTTTTATTTATTATTAAAAATTACAATCTTACCAGTTTTTCCATTTTAAAAAGTGTTCTGCGTGCTCCCGTGCCTCTTCCTTCCACTTCCAGTGCCTGTCTGTGAGAAGTGCACACTAAATCCGGACCCGCGCCCGGCTTTCTTTGACTCAAAGCCCCAAAGAAGGGTGCAGAGCACCAAAAAAGAGACAAGATAAGATGCAGAAAAGGAAAGAAATAAAGCTCGCCTCACACTCCCCCCCACATTCCCTCCTCAGTAAGCCAGGAGAAGTAGGAGAGAAAGATATTTATACGGGACAAAGATAAGGACTTGCTGCTGAAAAAAAATCCATGGGCCGTCCACAGTATGCAGAGTCTAGATGGGAGTGATTTGAGGGAGGAGACGTAGGGTGATTCATGCATCCTAATGTCTCATTGCAGTTCTCATAGGCCCCATGGGGAAGAAAAGTAGCCACCCTCTAGCATGAAGTTGTGGGACAGGAGAAATAAATCCGTTTTTGTAAAAAGTTAAAGTGGATGGACCTTTTGGATTACAATAATGACTTCATACATGAACCTGATACTAAAGATACAAAGCTGCTACTGGAAGACCATCTACTCCAAGGGCTTTGTCTGCAGATAGAGCTTCGAGGGCCTTTGTGAGCTTGTCAAGGGTTAGATCAGGAGGTACCAACTGATTTGGAGAGTAAAGCTTTAGATACAGAGACATTCTGTCAGGATATACAGTATACAACAGTTCTATGAGTAGTTGGGAAAAACCCTATATAGTGAGAGGTGTTCTGGAAGGCGGACCAAATGGCTAACAGGTGGCCCGTATTGCTCTCCTTCTTAAAAATATTGTTGCCCAAAAAAAGTGTCTTAGCAGATCTTGAGCTTTCAAACACAAAGATTGAGTAGAGTAATTAGAATTTTGGTACATATTCCCTTTTTGCTTTTTCTACAGCTGACATTAGCTGAAACCCCCTTTGGTTTGATGAGCGTTTAACCTTATTTACTTCCTGATAAATCTGATAAGAGTGCCCACCACAGGCACTTCATGCACTGAAAAAACAGTGGGGAAAATATATCAAAACTGGAGTAGGCAAAATCTGGAGCAGTTGCCCACAGTAACCAACCTCTCTTTTCAGTTTGTTCAGTTGAAAATGAAAGACAGAAGCTGATTGGTTGCCATGCGCACCTGCTTCAGTTTTGATACATTCCCCTCATTGTGTCTTGCACAATATAACTTGCTGCTCCTGGCCCTGTGAGCAGCATGATCGGCCTTCTTTGAAGTTCAGATACACATGTGTAGTTGACATGAGCACATAGCAGGTGGTGGTGACAGTTTGTTGCCAAGGTATTTCTTGAGAAAGGCCCCACCCCCATTCCTTAGAACCAAGCTTAGCGAGACATTTTGTGGACTGTTATGGCATTGTAAAATTCACATGTTTATTTAGCACTTAAATATGTACCAACCGAAAGGATAAGGGGCTCCTCTAAAGACCTCTTTCACACCTGTCCGCTCTAGTGCGTTGCGTTATCGCGTGTTATGTCTCGCCTGTCTGCCCTGGTTGCGTTGCGTTATTGTGTGTTATGTCTCGCGTAAAGGCATGTTGTGTTAAAGTTGAGTATTTTTTGGCAACATGTTTTTATGGTGTTATTGAGCCCATAAGGTAAATCACAGGGCAAGTTTTTTTTGTCTTTAACCAGTTGGGACACTGGTCTATGATTATTGTTCCTGCAGCAATCTATCTGCTCCAAGTTGAAGACAAGTGGCGCCAGATAGAAAGCACTGATACGAATTAAGGAAAAAAACGGTTGCATATACCTTATATTAATTGACAAAAATAAATCTGTACACCGCATACCTGCTTTTGTTGACATCCCAACCATATTTTTCTTCTTCTTCCAGAAACTGATGTCATTTTTAAATGCAAGAAAATCAAATAGTAGCTGCAAATGGAAGAATAAATTAGAAATTTCAAATATTAAAACACACCCCAACTTCTCCATGAACCCAAGTTGTGCCAGTGTATAACTGAAAATTTAGTAAATGGCTGAATATGCCCAGGTAGTCACAAAAACATACATGCATTATTTGCTTTAACAAAACAAGAGATCAGATACATTCTGGAAGTTTTGTAGCAGGAAAAATCTAAGGTAATAAATTGCTTTTTTTTTTTTGGTGCCACAGGAGACAGCATTCACTGTTCACTCATGCTTTCGCAGAGTGTTACCTGCATACATGTTCCAAAGAGTATTCCCTAAAAATCACCCTATAAGCATTATGTACTGCAGTATTTTAATGGAGACATGCATACAAAGTAACTGGTGATTTCAAGTGCAACGCCAGGAAAAGTTTAACACCATCCCACAATCCATTCAATAAAAATAACTTGTAAAAAATAACTACTAATGTGAACCAAATCAGGCTCTATCACTTAGCTCAGTACAATTAGTCTTAACACTGTAGACATGCTTCAGAAAGGGGTCTGCAACTTCATTGTCCAGTTAAGCTAGGGAAAGAAAGATGACTAAGGAAGCAGAAATTCAGCGTCCATTATTTCCTACAGTCACCTACCGAATGGGTGAGTAAGCATTTCCATGATTTTAGGGGAGAGGGTTGTTGAACTATATAAATGAAGTATAATTGCAGAAATATCACAAATTATCATTAGGCACTGTGTCCTCTTGAGAAACTGGCATATTTAAGGGCCATTTTACCACTACTGTCATTGTTCTTGATAGAGGAGGTATCTGCCTTTACAAACATCTTGCATTTTCACAAACCTTGGAAAGCCTGTGCACATTACTCTGCAGAAAAACACTGTGAAGCGGCTGTTTTAGACATCTGCATACAAGGTCCATTTAACTGCTAGATGTAAGTTTTATGTGTAGAACCAGGCAAGCTATTTTTTTATGTACCTTCTGTTTTATTAGTTAAACCAGAATGCTATGCCCACAGTTACCCAGGGGAAGTCCAAAAAACCATATAAAACATGGGTCAATTTGCTATAACAGGGGGGAAAAAAATCCTTCCTGACTCCATAAGGCAATCGGTTATTCCCTGGGTCAACAATCTCTGGTGCTTATTTTACTTATAAGAAGTTAATATCTAGTAATATTCTGTGAACAAGCAATCAAGGTTATGTAGTGCTTGAAATGCTGATTATGTTTTTTGATACTGGAACTATGATAACGCTACTGGTAGTTAGTCTTTACCTGGACTGCAGTATCAACTTTTAGCTGTCTGTACAAATAAAAACCCACTGGAAGCTTTCTACCCAAGAGAATGTCAAAACAAGGCTGCTGTACTCACACAGGGGCATATTTATAAAGCAGTGGACATGACTTTCACCAGACATTCACTGGTGGTGAAATAATTACTGTGATTTAAAACATGCACCTGGAAGACTCACCTGTTGTATAGGTTTGCTGAAGGTCAGATTCACTGCTTATTAAATATCAGTGACAGTGTGAGAGCATGCTGTGACTACAAAACACATATACACTAGATACCTCCAATGAGTGTTATTTTTCAAGTATGACCTTTTAATTAATGGTTGGTAAACTGCATTCCATGAGATCATTCAAGCATTGCAATAACAAAAAGTTGTACAATTAACTAGGGATGTCCCGATACCGATGCTAGCATCGGAATCGGGCCCGATACAAGGCATTTTGACAAGTACTTGTCAAAATGCCTTGATACATAGAGCCGAAGCTTGCGCTATGGGTTTTTTTTCCTCTCGCTTACCTCGCCGAGCGTCGCATCACTTGGATCATTTAACCCATTCATGTTAGCAGTGCAGAATTGTATATCTATATGTACTGTACATATACAGCACAAATGTCCCATACATTGCAGCAATATATTTACAATAATCCCCGGCTAACATGAATAGGTTAAATGATCCGTAGTACAACTACATGTTATGTACTATGGATCGTGATTTAACCTATTCATGTTAGCAGGGGATAATTGTAACTATTACTGCAGTGTATGTGGACGTATGTGCTGTATATGTACTATGGATCATGATTTAACCTATTCATGTTAGCAGGGCAGAATTGTGAGCGCCTCCCACAAGCTGAGCACCGAGATGCGATCCTGCCCAGCGCCGACTACAAGAGGCATCGCGTGAGGCTACGGGGATCGGAGTGAAACTGTGAGTAAGGGAAGCTGGGACGGGGCTGGCTGTAAATCTATTGCTATAGTGTACTGGACGTGTGCAATGTATATGTAGTGCATATATACAGCACACACCTCCACTACACTCCAGCAATAGAGTTACAATTCTCCCCTGCTAACATGAATAGGTTAAACCATGATCCATAGTACATAACATGTAGTTGTACTCTGGATCATTTAAAGTCACCTGTCCCTTTAAGAAAAAGTATCGGTAATTGGTATCGGCAAGTACATGAGGGGATGTACTTGGGCCTGAAAAAGTGGCATCGGGACATCCCTACAATTAACCTAACCACATTTTTTTAACAATCATAAAGAAAAGTATTTAGACATTATTTCTAAGACTTACAAAGTAGTATTGAGGTATTTTTATACTTGGATGATGTATACTGTTACTTGGTTATTACAAAAAAACTTAATGCTAGTACTGCAATATTTTACTTGCTAATATTTACTTTTGTAATCAATTCCCAACTTACATGAAAAGCAGCTACGAAGAAAGTAAGGGCTAGGAAATAAAGATTGGTGTCCACAAAAATTCCCTTAACTTCATCTGCATCTTTTTCTGAAAAACCTGCCAAGAACAACATTCTATTATATGCAGTACCATTTCTACAGCATGAGTACAAATGAAGGAAACACAATAATCAATAAAAAAAATGGAAAAAAAAAAATGGGATTTTGTACTTACCGTAAAATCCCTCTCTTGTCCATTGAGGGACAAAAAGTTTAGGGTTTATGAACCATTTTTTATACTACCACCTACTAGAGGACTGAACACTAGGCCAGCCCCTAGGAGCTATAACCCATACTCTAGGAATCCTGCTCAGTTGTTGCAAAGCAGTATAAATACAAAATGACAATAACAAGCACAAAAGGACAGGGAGCGGTGTCCCTCAAAAGGGCTCCATGAAAGGGATTTTACAGTAAACCGTTTTCTTTTTTTGGGTTCATATTCATGATTTGTGAGATGTCAAAAACAGAGGGGTCAAATCCACTTAGAAATTGTGGAGCTGAAAGCTGGAACTCTTCCTGGGACCCCTGGACTGACGAAAAAAATAACAGGGCTGTGGTATTCAAAAATACTGTGACAGCTCTGACCATATCTAGACATTTGAAAACAATCTCCTTGGGTTGTGAAGGAGTCAGACACAAAAAAGGCAACCCGATGGCTTTGTTCAGGTGGAAGGGAAAAACCACCTATGGTTAAAAGAAAGTGTTGGTCTCAGTAAAACCTTATCTCTGCGGAGCTCTAAATAAAGTTCCTTTCAGGATGGAGCAGCCAACCCACAAACCCTCCTGGCCGAAGTAATCAGCACAAGGAAGACAACCCTGTGGGAATAGGAGGGCAAGCGAATATTCCAGATCACCTCGAAGGGAGGTCTCTGGAAAACCAACAATTCCAAGTTTAGATCCCACAGCAAAAGTGGAGATCTAATGGGAGGAACAATATGAGTGTCTGCCTCCACAAAAAGGTCCAAATCAATGAATATGCAGTCAATGATCTTTGAAAGACAGTAGCCAAGGTGGATATGTGACCCTTAATGGTACTCCGCTATCTTCTAGTCCATTTCTGCCTGAAGAAAGGAAATACTTTTTTTTTTTTAACAGGTATGTATTTATTGGTTTTAACACATATAACATGACACATACAATACAGAGAAAATGAAATAACACCATCTCAACACAGAATAACAGCATTTAGTACAAGACAATACAATAATGGGAAAAATAAGAATAAAAACCATACATATAAGAACTAGACAGACACTACCAAACTAAGACGGTGTGGATCATTGGTCTCTTGTGTTTGCAGCACGGCCGATCCCTTCAGGTGATCCGGCCATACTACGAAGTGAAGGCTCCTGGGGGAGGCAATCAGAGGGAGGGGGAAGGAGGAGAGGGGACGGGACCGAGGAGGGAGATACCAGGAAGGGGTAAGGGAGCTAGGTGGGAGGGCAAGGCAGGCGGGGAGGAGGGAAGTAGGCCCTCCCGTGCACATCAGAGCCTCTATTCAGGGGGTTCAGGCGGGAGTAAGGTCTCTCCGCCCGGGCCCCCCATGGTAAGTCCCCTGGCCGCCACCCAGTCTCCCCAGATACGATCGATATTACGCTCACAGTTGCGTCCCATGTATGTCAGCCTGTAGAGCGGGAGCATTCTATCAATAGTGCTTAGCCATTGTCCCACCGTGGGGGGAGAAGTTAGCTTCCATCTCAGGATTATCTCTCTACGAGCATAGAGAGCTACATAAAATAGGAGGAGCTTGGTGGCCCTAGGGGCCCGAAGGGTCTCCCCACATCCCAGCAGGAAGAGCAAGGGGTCCACCTCCAGCTGCAGTCCAGAAACCGCCTCGACCGTGGAGACCACCGAGTTCCAGTATGGTCGAAGCTTGCTACAGGACCATACCATATGAAAGAAAGTACCCTCCTCTACCCCGCAGCGAGCACACGTCGCATCCTCCGTGGGGTAGATTCTAGCCAGTCTAGCAGGGGTGTAATAGGCTCTATGGAGAAACTTGAGCTGGATAAACCATTCCCTGGGGGAAATTACTGTAGATATATAGGCCTGGACGCATTCCTCCCAAAGATCCTCCGTCAGACTGGGGATGTCCACCCTCCATTTCTCATAAAGGGCCGTCAGCTGGGGTCCCTCCGTACAGGTCAACCGTAGGTAGAGGGAGGACAAGGGTTTGTGAACTCCGACCGACATTAGGAATCGCTCAATACGGTCCGAAGCAATAATCATTGGGTCAAGGAACTGGGCTCTACACGCATGTTTCAGCTGCATATATCTGAAACCCATGGTCTGGGGTAGGGAGTAGTTGGCCCGAAGTCTGTCGAAACTCAACAACGTGCCCTCCGGCATGATGTGCTTAATCACTGTGATCCCACGGTGGGCCCAAACCTGGGGGTCCGGGACAGAGAGCAGGTGTTCTAGTCTTGGGTTGCCCCACAACGGGACATCGGGGGAGATGGCGCCAGCCGGCACCCTTCCCCTTCTAATCCTGTCCCACACCGCCAGTGCAGTACGCATAGGTCCCGTGACCATCCCTACAGCCTTCGGACCCCTAAAAACCAAGTTTCTCAGCCCTGCATAAGAACCCATCAGAGCAGCCTCCAGAGTTACCGCCGGGTTATCCTGATCCCCTATAAACCACCACCAGACCGTCACCAGAACAGACGCCCAATAGTAGGTTTTGAAGCATGGCATTCCCAGTCCCCCCTCAGACAGAGGGAGTCGGAGGACTCCCCTAGACACCCGAGGAGTTTTTCCCGCCCAGACAAAATTGGAGATAATTCCTTCCAGTGTGTGAAAAAAGGAAATGGGAATCTGGACCGGGGTATTACGGAAACAGTAAAGAAACTTCGGAAGAAACAACATTTTCAGTAAGTTGATTCTACCCACCGGTGTCAGGGGGAGAGTTTTCCATGCCATACATTTTGCCTTCAGGTGTCTAAGTATGGGATATAAATTATCTTCTAGGAATCGGGCACGATCCGAGTTCACCACCACACCCAGGTATCGAAATTCAGAAACCTGCGTGAGGGGCAAGCCCGGATCAAGCCGAAGGGGGGATGAGCCCAGCGGGAACAGCAAGGATTTCCCCCAGTTCACCCGGAGCCCTGAGAAGGAACCAAAGGTATCTATTATGCTTAAAGCCGCTGTCAGGGAAGGCCCCACATCCCCCAGGTAAAGTATCGCATCATCGGCGTAGAGTGAAAGCTTCTCCATCAATTTCCCCACTGGGAGCCCCACCACTCGGGCCAAGGCCCGAATCAGGATAGCTATATTCCATCGCCAGTGCAAATAGTCCAGGCGAGAGGGGACAGCCTTGTCTCGTGCCCCGGCCCAGGGCAAAGGGGGTCGACAGCATATTGTTAATGCGTACTCTAGCAGTGGGGGAAGAGTAGTGGAACCGAATCAAAGCGACCACCAAACCCAAATTTACGGAGGACTGCAAACAGGTAGGGCCATTCAACCGAGTCGAACGCCTTCTCGATATCTAGGGATGCCACTGCTTCCTGCCCCCGTGATGCACGGAGCCTATCCACATTAGTGAAGAGGCACCTTAGGTTAACATCTGTCCCCCTCCCAGGCATAAATCCAGTCTGGTCTCCATGTATCAGCAGGGTGATGACAGCATTGAGCCTATTAGCCAGCATGCGGGTAAGGATCTTGAGATCCACGTTTAAGAGGGATATTGGGCAATAAGACGAACACTGCTCGGGGTAAGGAAATACTTTTTCTGAATGAAAAGGTGTGAGGGTGGAAACTGAGCAAGACACAGAGAGAAGGGGCTGGCCTTCAGTTCTTTTTCCTAGTGTCAAATCTCATGCCAAGTAGCAGTATAACACACTGTTCATGAGTATGAAACACCATTGCTGAATGGATGATAATGAAACCATGTATTTTCAATATGTACAATTTTTTTTTTTATGTTTGCGTTATAGAAATATTTAGAGTTGATGGCAGCACTCCTCTGGATTCTGTATTTTTGAAGCAGACAAGGAGCTTAAAAGTCTCAAGCTAGCAATTATTTTCGGTTCTGCTACAATGAGGCACACCTGCTCCCTTGTCTACATGGTCAAGGCATAGAATGAATGACTGAGGCATTACTGCCAGCAGCTATAATCAGGCAAGAGCTACAGGGTACAGTGCTCATGTTTACATAATTACTTCCTTCTACCTAGTGAGGTGGTCTATAACTGGCTCATTCCTCTGGAATATTTTTTATAAAAGGTTCAGCTAATCTTTTAAGTTGCAGATTTTATTATTCAGATACTAACGCCACTTCCCAGTAATTCACTGACTTTGAACAAGCTTTTAGCCTGAGAAATGCTGTATACTTGTTCCAAACTAAGTATGTAGTGAAGCCAGAAGCACAATAAGCGAGGCAGCAATGGCAACTCCTGTACTGCTATACTCATTGGTTCCATTGGATGAATGCTAAGATAAGCTGAATTAGCCTTTGGCTACCCATGCGACAATACACTACTCTCCAGACTTTAACTATCTTTTTATAAGAAAGATCATGCCATAAACAGCGCTCACTTCAGAAAAGATTGTTTAAACAAGGGATAACCATGCACCAGTTGCAGATACTAAAAGAAATTATGTTATCAGGAGCAGTAAATGTATTCATTTACTCCATTTAGTCCATTGTGTGAAATCATAAAATATTTGCAATCTTACCAGTTACATGAACACTGCACATTCGTAAGCCATACTAAAACAGCAAAGTTATATATTCAAAAAAAGTGCCTCATACAGAGTTTAGTATATCTGTAAAAATTGAGTCAAGGCAACTGGACTTGCTGCATTTTTCATGAAGACATTTCACTGGTCATCCAACCAGCTTTCTCAATTCACAATGACTTGTACAAAACACTGATTTCTGGGTTTACCTTCTCAAATGCCCTTGTTCTTTGGTTCACATTGGCAAGACAATTGGCCCGTTTAAATGTCGCTTCCAGAAGCTCAGACGTGATATTACATCTGTACTTTGCTCGAATACAGGGTGGGCCGAATACAGAATTAAAAAGAAAACTGGAGAACCCTTGCAGCCATCAGCGGATGCTGCAACATCAACTCTATAGAACTTGGTAAAAGAGTAAACGGAGGACCAGGTAGCTGCCTTGCAATCTTGAGCAACAGATGCCTGATGCCCAAGTTGAATGAGCAGTAACTGGGAAAGGAGGTTCCCGACCCTTACCCACGTACGCATGAACAATCGTCTGACAAATCCATCTTCAAATGGTTGAGGAAGAAGCAGCCTGCCCTTTCCTGGGTCCAGGAATCCATCTTACGAAAGGCAGAGGTAGCATTAAGATGGACACGGACAGCGATGACAATATCTAAACAATGCAGAGCAATTTCTTTCAGATAAGAAGGATTAGGACATAAGGCGGGCAGAACAATATCTTCTTTCATATGAAAGGACGACACCACCTTTTGGCATAAATGATAAACGAGGACAAAGAACAACCTTGTCCCTATGAAGAACCAAAAAGGGAGGCCTGCATGACAAGGATGCAAGCTTAGACACCAAAAAGAACAGCCAAGGTGGAAATCTGACCCTTGATTATACTTCAAGCCAAATGCTGATCCACACCCTCCTGAAGAAAAGTCAAAATACATGCCATGGAAAACCATCTAGGAGGAAAACCAGGCAAAGTGGCCTTCCAGGTGCAATAGTAGATCATCCGTGAAGTGGATTTATCGTGGCAAAGGACTGCCTGAGAAAGACCCTTCTTGAACACCTGGCTCAAAGACAGCAATGGTAAATCAGGATGGCAGATTAAACCCTGTGACAGTATTTCTGGATGTAGAGGAAGGCGTCAAGAAATGTCTGCCACCAGACGAATGAGGTCTGCATATCAGACCTGACAAGGCCAATCCGGACCCACTAGAATGACTGGGATGCCCTCTCGCTCTATCCTTTGCAGCAACTTAAGCAGCTGGAAGTCGTAAATTAGTGCATACCCATCCCACGGCACCATCTACGCGTACACTGCATCCGCTCAAGGATCCTTTGTTCTTGTCACAATCCTGGGCACCTTCCGATTTAGCCGGGAAGTCAACAGATCCATGTCTGGCGTACCAAAGCGAAGACAAAGTTGTTGAAAACACATCCTAATGAAGAGTCCATTCTCCCCCAGATGGGCCATTTCCAGTGCAGCTGAGGAGCTCCTCATGCACACCTGATGACTATTGCGTTGTTCGATTGAATTCAGACAGGGTGTTCCTCGAAGATGGTTGTCCAATGCAGAAGACACAAAAGGAAATCACTTCCAGCTCCACAATATTGATTGACAAGTTGGTTTTCTCCCTTGTCCACAAATCCCAAACCGGCAACTCAACTGGCCCAACCCTCCCCCTCCAGCTGAACAAGCTGGCATCCGTCGTGACAAACAGCTAATACATTGGAAGAAAAGGAGTTCCTGGAGACCAACATTGGAGAGTGGGGCCACCACGCCAAGTATGCCCTTTCTCGATAGGAAAAGAGAATTGTTCTGTCTAGGGATGCATCGATACTAGTATCGATATCGGTGCCGATTCCGAGTATTTGGGCAAGTACTTGTACTCGCCCAAATGCTCCGATGCCTAGCACGAGTACTTCCGGTATCAGGAAGCCGGGCAGCGCGTCATTACGTGCGGCCCGGTTTCGCGATTGACCGGGAAGCGGCTCCGTGCTCTCTCGTCACTTGTGATGAGAGAGCATGGAGCCGACTTCCCGGCCCATCAGGAAGCGTGTAATGACGCACTGCCTGGCTTCCTGATTGGTCGGGAAGCTGGCCAATCGGGAAGCTGGCCTCGTGAGGTAAGGTTACCTTACCTTAGTATGTGCAGCCTGTCACCCCCGGGGCCTCTCCAGCGAGAATGCGGTTTTCGTCTGGTACCCAGCCGGAGCAGTCCAATCAGGAAGCCAGGCGCCGTCTAATGATGCGACACCCTGCTTTCTGATTGGCCGGGAAGCTGGCTTCATGCTCCCTCGTCATCTCATGACGAGAGCATGGAGCCGGCCTCCTGGCCAATCAGAAAGCAGGGCGTCACGTCATTACACGGCGCCCGGCTTCCTGTTTGGCCGGCCAGACGGCTCCGCTTGGGTACCGGGCGAAGGCCGCGTTCTCGCTGGAGAGGCCCCGGGGGTGACAGGCTGCACATACTAAGGTAAGAGGGGACTTTCTTGTTAAATCAGGAAGCCAGGTGGCGAGTCATTACACGCCACCTGGCTTCCTGAATGGGACTTCCGCTACTCGGTAATTGGTATCGGCGAGTACCGAAAATAAATTATCGCTACTCGGTACCAAAATACCGGTATCGCTGCATCCCTAGTTCTGTCCAAAGATCCCAGAATCTTGTCCAATTTGGCAAGGATCTCCCTCTGCAGAATCCAGGAATGGTGTTGAGCACATGGAACTGCCTCGAAAGAGGTCAACATCAGACCATGGAGATGTGAATGTAACTGAACGGGAGATCGCTCAACAGGCGCACATGTTGACAAAAATTCTGCAGCTTCTCCTGAGGAAGAAACACTCTGGCTATTCTTGAATGCAAGGTCAGACTCAGATATTCCAGACTAAGAGAAAGCACTAGAGATTACTTCTGAAAATCCAGAATACCCAACGACGGATATCCCCTGTCTCAACAATGCCAGTACTGGTGCCACAAACTGATAATGAAGCTCCCCCATTGCAAACCCAAGAAAGCGCTAGTGACTGCAGTAAATGGGAACATGAAGGTAGGCGTCCTTGATGTCTATCCATGCAAAAAAGTTCCCCTGGTGTAAGAAGGCCACAAAAGAATGCACCGATTCCATCTGAAACTTGCTCAACTTCAAACACGTTCAAGGCCTTCAGATCCAGACTTGGACAAAGCCACTCCTTCTTGGAAACCGGTGAACAGGTTGGAATAAAACCACCTGAATTTTTCGGCGGATGGAACCGGAATGATTACTCCCTAAACAAGCAGCCCCTGGATGGCTGAATGAAGATCCGCCAGACGCTAAGGGGAGAGGTGAAGATTGGAAGCAAAGAAATGTTCTGGGGGTAAAACAGGAATTCTATTTTGCAACCCAAGGAGAAAACCTCCCTGGCCCAGTTGTCTGAAATT